AGCAGATAGAAGCAAACCACAAAGAGAGAGAAAGAAGAGACAGAGAGAAATAGACAGAGAGACAGAGACAAAAGGAGACAGACAAACCTTCAGCGTGAGGAGACAATAAAGAGACAATAAAAGGAGACAGAGACAGAGAGATATAATGAAAATAATAATAAGACAATAAAAGGAGACAGAGACAGAGAGAGATAATAAAAATAATAATAATATACCGCTGCTGTTGTCTCCTGCAGCAGTATGTCTGTTTTGCTAGGATTGCAGAGGCCCCCTAACTCTGTACGTGTCTCCTCAGCCGCTGCATAGAGGAGACAGCAGACGAAGAGACAAAACAAATATATAAAAAGATATGAATAAATAATAATAATAATAAAAAGCACATTAATAAAAGAAAGTTAAAAAAAACAAATAAACAAAATGCAGTAAACATACCCCAAATAACAAATATAAAAAAACAAAAAAGAGACAAAGGAGACAAACAGAAAATAAAAAGGAGACAAATGCCCAACAGAGAAGAGGCAATACTGCCTAAACCCTAAACCCTAAACCCTAAACCCTAGAGACAGACTGAGACCAGTATGAGCGCCTAATCCCCATCCCCCAAACCCTAAACGCTAAACCCTAAACCCTGAACTCCACCGTTTAAACCCTAAACCCTAAACCCTTAACCCTAAACCCTAAACCGTAAACCCTAAACCCTAGAGACGGACTGAGCCCAGTATGAGCGCATAGTTCTGCAAGAGAAAGTGTCTCCTTTTGATTAAATGCGAGGAGACAGAGGGCTTGCAACTCGGAGGTAAATAAAAGAAAAGAAGAAGAGGGAGAGGCGTCTCCATCGATGTGCATACACTCCAAGTCCTACTCAAAAACAAACAAACAAATACATATATATATATATATTTACATATATAAATATAAATATATATATATGTATATATATATTCAAATTAATATTTATATAAACATATATATCAGGCATATGAATATATACACATATATATATATATACATATATACATATATATATATATGTATGCTTATTCTTCTTTATATAAATATACAAATATTTATATTTATGCACACTCATCTAAGTGTATGCATGCATTGAGGGTATATTAATAAAACAAAGATATATCATCACGCAAGCGCAAACCCTAAACCCTAAACCCTAAACCCTAAACCCTAACTCCCGATCCGTGTGTGAAAGTTGCTGCTGCTGTTTCCGCTGCTGTGTCTGCATCTGTTGCTGCTGTTTCTGCTGCTGCTGCAGCAGCTGCTGTTGTTGCTGCTGCTGCTGCAGCAGCTGCTGCTGTTGCTTACTGCTGTCTCCTTTGGTTGTTTCCTCAGCTTAGCTTTAACTTCACAAGACCCTAAAGAGGGCAGCAGCAGCAGCTTCTTCCCAACTGCATGCGCTGTATAAAAGGTTAGAAATATATCTTTTAAAGAAGAGAAAGGAGGAGACAAACGCAATGAAGCTGCAGATACACCTGAAAATGAAGGCCAAATGCCTCGCGAGCAAACCCTCACAGATAAACTGCACTTCTCTGCCGCCAGCGAAGACCCCACAGCCTCATCCTGCATCAACATACACCCTAAACCCTAAACCCTAAACCCTCAACCCTAAACCCTCGGACTGTAAGCAAAGATACAACGCATCGCAACTCTTCTAAAGGTGTGCATAGGTGCAGCTACGGTGTGTAGCGAGGGTTTAAGGTGAGGGTTTAGGGTTTAGGGTTTAGGGCTGGTGGCTGGATCTTCAGGCAAGGGTTTAGGGTTTGCGAGAACACATTAGAAAGACTCCTAGGGTTTGGTGAAGGTCTTGTGGGGTTCAGGATTCTACAAGAAGGGTGTGCACGTCGGGTAGGAGGCTAGGTTTCATTAGGGCTAGGGTTTAGGGTTTAGGGTTTAGGGTTTAGACAGCACCTCTCGCATTTTCTGCATGAGTTCTTGAGAGAGTTTTATGTCGCTGAGCATTGCCTCCATTTTGCTGGTATACTGCGGCCCGCACTCTGAGGTGTACATACACCGCAGCACTGCCCCTAAACCCTAAACCCTAAACCCTAAACCCTACGGCTTCTCTGCTGGAACGAACTCCTGATATGAAAAAGCTGCTGCTGCTGCTGCGCAGGTCAGCTCCTGTTCGGGTGTAGCGAGGGTTTAGGGTTTGTTTAGCGAGGGTTTAGGGTTTAGGGTTTAGGGTTTACCGTCTCTGAGTCTCTGTACAAATGTTCTTTCTAGGGTTTCATTCGCCAGCCCCATCTGCAGCAGCCGCTTTGAGAGATCTACTCGATAGAATTGCTGAGGCGCATGCAGCAGAGACATCTGGGGTGTACGTACACCTCAAACCTCCCTATACACCCGAGAGGTTTTATCCAGCTTGTCGTTCTTCACCCAACAGCTTAAATCCTCTCTATGCTTCTGCAAGACAAGGGTTTAGGGTTTGGGGAAGGGTTTAGGGTTTGAAGCGCACAAGGGTTTAGGGTTTGACGTGCATATGCGTTTAGGGTCTGAAGCTAGGGTTTAGGGTCTAAAGCTAGGGTTTAGGGTTTCATGCATCCAAGGGTGTAGAAAATCACGGTCCGGCCCGTTCAAAGGGTTTAGGGTTTAGGGTTTAGAAAGGGATAGGGTTTATGAGTTAGAGAGCCCTAAACCCTAAACCCTCACCTCAAAGGCTTCCTTTCCAGCTATAAGAGCAAACAACCCTACAACTCTCTCTAACTCCTCCTCAGCATCAAATGGGGGCCCCTTGGGGGCCCCCTTTAAACCCTTTCCGCTCTTTCTTATTAATGCATCAACGTGTAGAGCTGCATGTACACCGCACACACTCCAAACCCTAAAACCTAAACCCTAAACCCTACATCGCCCTCACCCGAAACCCTAAACCCTAAACCATTAACCCTAAACCCTCCGACCTGCACCGCATGCAGCGGCGGCGGCCTTCTCCAGGGTTTAGGGTTTAGAGTTTCTCAGGGTATAGAACTTAGTGCTTAAGGTATAGGTTTAGAACCAAGGGTTTAGAGTTTAGGGTTTAGAGTCCAGGGTTTAAAGTTGAGGGTTTAGGGTTTAGAGTCTAGGGTCTAGGGTTTAGGGTTTTCGTCTTACAAAGGAGACGAGCAATAGACTTAACTATGAAATTCTCTGCTAGTAAAAAGCTCCCCCAAGCCTCCTGCAAACGCAGCAGCAAAAGCAAAAAAATAAATAATAAATAAAATAAAACTGCTGCATGCGCATGCAGCCCCAAACCCCCTCACAGCATTGCAAACAACAACATGTTCATCTGCAGTAGGGGCCCCTGGGGGCCCCTATTTGGGGGCACCTCTCATGTAGAAGCGGGAAAGCCTAAATCCAAAACCCTAAACCCTAAACCCTAAACCCTAAACCCTAAACCCTAAACCCTAAGCTGTAGGGTTGATTACCTTTAGGCCTAAGAGGAAGTCGGGGTTAGCGGCGAATGCAACGGAGAATATTTTTTCGTGAGTTTGTTTCATCTCTAGCAGCTTCTCAATGAATTGTCTGTTGCTGCTGCTGCTGCTGCTGCTGCTGCTGCTGCTGCTGCTGCTGCTGCTGCTGGGGTTTTTTAGAGTAGCAAGGAGGGCCTCTCCCTCTCTTCTAACTGCAGCAAGAACTTTCTTTTTTAAGAGAGATAGCTCTCCAGCAAGAGAAAAGAGTTGATGTATAGTTGAGAGAGATGAAGCATCTGCTAGCTGCAGATACACCTGAAGTGCAGCAACGCTGCATAATACTTCTTTATTTCTCTTCACCAACTCCTCTAGTAAAACACAAAATAAAGGGTCTCCTGATGCCCCGTGTAGAGCTGTCTCCTTTCTCCTTTGTTCTCTTAAAAGAGCACCAGCAGCATATTGCAAATAAGAAGATAGGGGGGCCCCCACAAGCCAACCCTCCTCTCCCCCTTGTGGGGCCCCCTGGGGGCCCCCCTGGGGGCCCCCCTGGGGGGCCCCCTCTTCTTTTGCTTTGGGGGCCCCCAGCAGTCGCTCTGAGCTGACTCTACGATAAAATGAAGCTGTTGATTGCAGCAATGCAGGCTCGAGAATATCAAAGTAACGCTGCACACAAACCCTAAACCCTAAAACCCTAAACCCTAAACCCTAACTAAACCCTTATGTCATCAAACACACATAATACAATAAAGGCTAAACCCTTACACCTTAACCCTAAACCCTTAACTCATCACATTTGCCGAAAAAACCCTAAACCCTAGCCCCCAAACACATGAAAAAATTGAAACAATCATAAACCCTAAACCCTAAACCCTAAACCCTAAACCCTAGCCCATCGAAGAGCAGGTATTCACTGCCTTGTGCGTAATTTCTCTTCAATTTCTACTCCCGCAAGCAAACAAAGGCATGAACAGGCCCCTAAGGGTTTAGGGTCTAAGGGTTTAGGGTTTAGGGTTTAGGGTTTGGCGTACTCCCAGGTGTATATACAGGAGACAGAGACGCATATGTGAAGCATCCGCTTCTCTTTCGTCCTGTCTTTCTTTTTCTACAACTGTAACAAAGGCATCTACTAGCTGCTGCAGTGTCTCCTCATGTTCTTGAAAAGCAGCAGCCAGCAGACAATCACATAAACCCTGCAAACCCTTCGGCTGCTGCTGCTGCTGCTGCTGCTGCTGCTGAGCCTCCTCTTCACCCTGCTGCTCCCCCTGCTGCTGCTGCTGCTGCTGCTGC